TCTAGTGATGTATCACACTTACAGTTTTATTCTATTTGGGGTACTGATTTCCAATGTTTGTTTTTATGTCCAGTAGGCTATGCGCTAAGCTCTCTATAAACATTAACGATAATGTGTTCTGGCACAACTTTCATAGAGTAGGCTTGGAGCAAAGGTGAGCCAAGTGACATTTCTGTAAACGTCAAGAAAAAATACAAGTCAATTATTTCGGGGCAAACAATGCCGTTCACAAATCTCGAAAAATTTGATATGTACAATTGTTATATCAGAAATAATCGAAATAACAGATAAACAGCTAGACAATACTTCCATTTATATCCAGAAAGACAACAACCGCATCCTTCTATTTTTCTAACATTACGAAGAAATTTCCAAGAGCATGGAAGTTTCATTGCACCTAGGCCAAGGTATGGTTTGCGCTTGGATGAACAAGATATTGCAAATATCGAAGGAATCATCAATCAAACTCCTACCATTTCAATTCGAGAGCTTAGTCGGAGAACTCTTGTGCCGAAAACAACAATCCACAGACATTTAGTGAATGATAAGTACCACCCTTTCAAACCAGTGATAGTACAAGGGTAAAGACCTGGTGATAATGAACGTCGTCTCGAGTTTTGTCACTGGTTCCATAACCAGTGTGAAAGAATCGAGAACTTTCCATTGAATATCTGCTGGACCGATGAAACGAAATTTCATAATAATGGAATTTACAATAAACATAATCATCATTACTGGGCACAAAATAATCCGCATGTCATCAGGGAATCAAAGTGGCAGAACAAATTTGGTTTCAATGTTTGGTGTGGGATATTTGGTACCTTACTAGAATTTTGGTCCATGAATAACTGTTTCTCATTGTGTATTTTTTTCAGGCAGTAGACTTCTAGGTCCAATAATCTACGATTACAACTTGAATGGTCCACGATATTTAGAGCTATTGAGAAATGAAATTTCGAATTTTATTGACGAGATACCACTTGCTGAATATGAGTTAATGTGGTTTCAGCAAGATGGTGCCCCACCGCACAATGCGCGATTGGTTAGGGAATATCTCGAGAATCAATTTGGTGCTAAATTAATTACTACCCATGGACCTGTGAGATGGCCTCCAAGGTCGCCTGACTGTACGCCTCTCGATTTTTACTTGTGGGGCTACGCCAAAAATAAAATTTATGAAGATCCAATTCAAGATATTGATGATCTACGAGATAGGGTGATGGACACATTCCAGAACATCAACAGAGTTCATCTGAGAAAAGCAGCGAATCATGTTCGCTCGCGAATATTAAAATGTATCGAGAACAATGGGGGCCATTTTCGAGCAGTTCAATTGATTTTTTTTTTCAGTATTTGTATTATTCAACTGTTATTAAATTTTTTTTCTGCTATAATAGTACACATCCAATTCCATGCGATAAGTTATGCAAGAACATAGAACACAGAATTCATAGCCTACTTGACATAAAAACAAAAATTGGAAATCAGTACCCCAAATAGAACAAAACTGTGAGTGTGATACATCACTAGAAAGGAAATTTGATGCTGATTTCAAATCTGTCAAAATCCAATATGGCGTCCATAAGAAAAATTGAAGTTGTAAGTGATATCTCAGAAATTTGACATTTTGATGGAAAACTGACAAAACCATTGAAAAGAGCACTAAAAAGTGCTATGAGAATGTTGAAGTCATTTTTTCATGAAATCAATAGGTTCCGAGATATTCGAGAAAAACAAAAATACAAGATTTCAGTTTTTCTCAAATAACTCGAGAATGACTGAAGCTAGCCCGGATTTCTCGATAGATTATGATTCAACATCAAATTTGCTACAACTTTGCTAATTTAACCGTTTCTCTATCTCTCATAGTTACTGAGATCCCAATGGTGAGGATCGAATTTGGGACACACTGTATAGATATATTATGTAGTAAATGAAACAGCCTCCAATAATTGATGAGCCATTTCCATTATAGAAATTATAACGAGAATATTGTTTTGTCAATTATTGTTAAGTATTGAATTTATTCAATAACTCTGTCAAATTCAAAGCGATTCCAAAAAACAATGCAACAGAGTATTCGCAATAAAAAGGGCTTTGAAATGATGTATTGGAAGTAGGGTAATTCTATTCGAAATTTTGAAGATGGTGGACAATTGTGGGTATTCTGTATCTCGAATTAATACCCTGTATGTGGTTGAATACCATTCGCGCTCCCGAGATATCATAATTTTTGTTCATTGCTATATACGATGTTATGTATCAGACTTGGCATTCACATATAAAACTTATTGACAACTAATAGCATTTTTTCATTCTGATAAGAAGTACACATTTAAGCATTTATCTAAGCATTCATTATTCATTTGATATCACAAGTAATACAGTCCACCATATCGAAGAAGATTAAGCAAATCTAGCCATAGTTTTGGTCCTTCGAGCCTGGGATATTTTATGCAATCGATTCGATAATTTTCGATTATTCGTTAATAATCATATCAATGCATTATTCAATCTAGAAGTTTTATCCAGATGGGGTTGCCAGGGGTTAGGGGGATGAACACATCAAGTTGGTTTAACTGCAAAAAATGCTCCCAATAAGTATAAAAATCAACAGGTCCAGACGATTTCTGGTAGAGGATTCGGTTATCTAGTTGTAAGGGAGGTCAAGTTGTTATAGGGATGATATTGCCACCAACCAAATAACAACGTTGAAAAATAATCGAGTGAATTTAATGATTTTTTTGCTGTAATTCGATATGGGGCCAACATTTATTGCCCATTTTTTTCTCCGACCACCAGACTATCTTGTCTCCTCAGATTCGTAATTAGATAAAAACAGGTATATTTTTCTAGAAATTCCTATTCAAGTATACTCATTAAGATTTTATGTATATTGGTATATTCGAGAGATGACAGATTACCAATAGATTATTACATCGAAACCAATATTTGATGTATACTTTTTCCAATCCTATAGTCGTAATAAGGTGATTTCAAATATTTGTGGAGGTGTTTTCGTGTCAAATATTTAATCTTTTAGTAATAAAGGAAATAGGTTCGTTACCTACCTACTTTGCTATGTATGATATTATCAGAGTTGTACACAGTGTTACAAAAGAATTCAATATTTATACGTGTCCAATATATTCGATAAATTTGATGTAGATATTTTTAGAGTAGTAGGTTCAAATGAGATATATGTTGAACTGTTCAGTCAAAAGTGTGCGTGTGAATATAATTAGTTTCCATAAAGTGTTCTCAACATCAACCAAACGTGAGTAATAGGAACCTATCTATTATACAGGATGAGTCAAGAATGTGTACCGATCTTTCTGGAAGTGAAAGTACATTGAAAAATACCTATAGTTCGATGCATTAACTGATGGCCCACAATGTATATTAATAAGGGAGATATATCTTTCTGAAGTTGATGGCGCCTGGTTGTATAGAGCTATCACATACAATAAGTTTTGGTTTTCTCTCAGGTACCTGCTACACATCCTTTGGTTTCTCATGATTGATTCTGTTGTTAGATCCTTTCTCTTGATGGCTGCTATCCACATTTCTCTTCTTATTCTTGATAGATCTTTCATCTGAGGATAATGCACAGAGTTTTTCACAGAATCACAGTAGGAATGTGAAAAAACTAAGCGAATTTTCCCGATCTACACGGTTTCCACTATCCACCACCAGTACACGTTACCCGCATTTTTTCTTTAAAATCATATTGATCCATCACCATCCCCTGATGGGGATATGCCATCCCAATACGTCGATCCAGATTCAGACGATCCTCATAGATCTAATGCGATCCTCAACCGGGACCTTCCAAGAGGGCTAAATTAATCAAGTTTTTTGATCTATATTACTCTATTTCCTAACAAATAAACTCATTAACTTTTGTTGTACTCATCTTTTTTATTTCATTATTCGTAGCTCAGCTTAAACATTCTCGTTCACACTCCTCATTTTTATTCTTATTATCTCATAATGAAAGTACAGGGCTTCGATTGTATAACCAGGGTCAAAATTCAATCAGAACAATAGGATTGCAAAAAATTGCGAAGTTCGAAATAAATGATAAACTTTGAAAGGCTCAATCTCGAAAACTAATGAGTCTACAGAGACAGTTTTTATATTATATTGTAGCAAATTTGGTCTACTTTACAAACGTCCTGAAAGAGTTTTTTTCAAAAACTAGTCCTTTTGCAGTTTTTTCGATTTTTGACAATGTTGCGTTCGACGCTCAAGGTCACAAACTTGGATTATTCCATGATTATTCATTAGGTCAACATCATGAACAAGTCTGCAAAAAATCAGAACTACCGGATTTGACGCATACTGTGATGTATAAAGTTACTGGATTACCAAGTTTGAAGTTCTGTGAGTTGACCGATGATGAACTACTCATTGTAGCAATTTTGTTCTTCGAGGAGATACTTTCTTCAATCTCCGCTACCGTACTACTCTTTCATTTTTCATGTTATATTAGTGTTTCAAAGAAAGCCCAACCTTGAACAAGAAGCGTTGACGACGTTCGGCGAAGACAATGTCCGGTGTTACCTTTCGGGTTGTGTTGTCATGGAACAGTTCACGGCCGCCGGCCGTTGAACAATTTTAACGGACAGAGGCTGTTAACATTAACACTTCAGTTGTCACCTGAATACCGTTTAATCGAAATAACAGTATGAGATAACGAAAAATTCTCTAATGGATGTATGTATACATAACGCAACGACTGCATATGAAAGAACGAAATAAAATTACAGTTTTATCTATCTAACAAATACAACTTATCATCGAAAATTCCTTCTCTGTTACGAATTTGTATTTCGATAATCATCAATACACTTGTTGTATTACATGGGAAAACATTTGTTTCGGAGAAAAGCGAGGTTAGTGGGTACTGGGTACCTATTCATCAATAAAGAACAAAATACATACCGATTATTATGTTTATTTTTTGGAAGTCGAGATGATGATAATAATTTTAGGTCATGGCCAGTAATGGGAAACCATTTGCGAACCACGTTCGACTCTACTCACAAACTGGATTTAACTTGACTATCAGAGGAAATGGGGAAATATGTGGAACAGATGACGATGCAGATAATGACAGTAAGTTCAGTTCAAAATGTTACGTTTTGGTTGCAAATAGCAATTCATTATTCGGTTTTACATCTTATACTGATCATTACATGAAACCTCATTATAATATTGGACTTTGTAATTTCAAATGGAAACCCCTCGTTTTTCATCGCAAATTATTATTCTACGATGAGAACTACGTCAGCTTTATCTAAATGGCTTTATTCAAGATTTCTTTTCGATTCCTGGAGATCGCTTGGAGGGTTACATAGCCTCAAGTATATGGTAATAATATGGTACTGTTTATGTGTCAGAGACCATTGGCGTAACTACGGGGGGGCTGGGCGGACACTCCTCCCCAGGATGTCGAGAGCCCACCCCAGGAAGCCCAAAAACAGGATATAAAATTCGCTCCCATAAAAATTACACAATATCCCCCAAAACTACTTATAAAAATTAGAAACACGGACGCCAAGTAATTTGAACTGTGTTCATTTTGAACAAAACTTTTGCAAATATCATAAAATAATATATTCATCGAGAAGGCCCACCCTTGAAGAGAAAAAAAACAATAAGCGGAAGTTGAATGCTGCAAAGAGGCCTTTCCACAGCACTTATCAGACGTTTTACAGGGTGATCCCTAGAAGCGTGTCAAACCACACTTTTTTTTTTATTGGAACGCCCGACTTTTTGTATAAACTACGAAACACTAATGTCGTCTCATCCCAAAATTTTGTGCCTATTAAAATATGAATAACTTTTTTCTGCTTTGAACAATTTGAATTCGGATCACACTGTTCGCTAGCCCAGTCCTTCTGCTATAAGCTCGTACTCCTTTAAACCATGAGGTTCTTCATATAAAATCGCTACAGGGTGTTACGTGAAACTATGAAAAATTTCGGAATATTCAAAAGGATCCCTAATGAACAAGAACTTTCTTTTCCTTGTCAACCCGGTTTTAAAATCTCATTTCGAGGCAGGAACTTCAGATGAAGAGATATGAAGATCAGAATTGACTCAAGATGAACATTATACAGTGTGTCTCACTTCTAATGGAAGCACCCCTGTATGTTTCGTGATTGTTGAGTTAGGATTCTGAAACTTACAGGTGCGGGAGATATACTGAAAATAAACACTATGACCAAGTGGGGTCATCTTCAGTGATAAACACTGCTCGCCAACAGCCATGGATCGAACCACCCAAATTTCCAGAAAACGTTATTAGGAGCCAAGATAGGTTGACAATCACTTCGGATTCGAAATCAGGACGTCCGATTCACTGACTACACAATTAACACATATTATTCCTGAGAAATTTTCAGTTAAGAAAAATGTACGTTTGTCTCACTTCTCATGGAAGCACCCCCGTATCTCACGTAATTATTGAGGTAGGGTTCTAAAATTTGTAGAAGGAAGCGAAAGACACGTCTTGATTTTGAATCCAAAGTGATTTTCAATCTTTCTTGCCTCCTTATATCATTTTTGTGGGTGGTTCCATGGCTGTTAGCGAGCAGTGTATATCACTGGAGACGACTACACTTGATCATAGTGTGTATTTCCAGTATATCTACCGCTCGTGCAAATTTCAGTATCCTAACTCAACAATTACGAAAGATACAGGGGGGCTTCCGTTAGAAGTGAGACACACTGTATAATGTTCATCTTGAGTCAATTCTGATCTTCATATCTCTTCATTTCAAGTTTGAGCTTCAAAATGAGCCTGAGATTTCAAAAATCGGTTGACGAGGAAAAAACTTATGACTGCAAAATCAAATAGTTATTTATTATACAAGGGAAAAAAGTAGAAGATTTTAGCTCCAGGTTGTGTTGTCTCCCGACGCGTAGCGGAGGGAGACAAAAAACCGTGAGCTAAAATCTAATATTTTTCCCGTGTATAATACACTATTTTTTTCTGTGACAGAAGGAAGGACGAATCAATATTGAGAAGATATTACATTATTTCGAAATCTGAAAATTATCGACGTGAAATTTCAAGTTTTCAACAGTAGGGACACCTGCGTTTTATAGACATCTTTATCATTCTTTTGAAGTAATCAAATATCTGATGTCACTTCTGTCAGTTCAATTCTGTGATTTGATTTTGAAAAATTGCGAATTCAGTAGTTGTTTAGTAATATAGGAAACCGCGAAGTCGAATGGAAGATAAAAGGACTTGCAGTTCTTTCTCGGAGACGGTATTATTGACTTATTTTTCGGAACTATAGCACAACAAAAGCCATTAACATAGTATGTATATGTAATATATATCCGGGAAAAAAGTACTTACTTTTTTCCCACGGGAAAAAAGTAATTTATGAAAAGTGACATTTTATAACCTGCCAACAGAGATGAAATGCCAAACTTTTTTCCCGTCACAGAAAAAAAGTTAATTTTTCGAGATCACTCTGTAAATATAAGAGATAAGGAGACAATCCAAAAACTGTCCCAAGATGACGAATAAGCTAATCAACGTTGTGTGGAATCTATTTATGGAATCGGTCCTTTGTCCTTATCGAGGTCCTTATTTATCACTCCAACTATTTTTAGGCGTTCATCTCATACCCAGTTTCGAAAAATCAACTGAAACTTGACGGTTAACAAATATTTTGAATGAATACAGATTTTTTTCACTTCAACCATAATGAATCATCATAAAATAGTTATTTTTGTATCTAGAGCGCGAAATGCTACTTTGGTGATAGCCGAGTTAAAAAAATAGTCGAGATGACCAAAGTATTTCGCGCTCGAGTTGCAAACAACATTTTTTCTACAAACGTCAAAAAATATAGTTCCAAAGTAAAAATATGCTGAGCTTGATATAGAAAATAGTGTTGAACTGGCTTAAAAGGCCTACCACTATCCTCTCTAGGTACGCACGATGTTCCACTAACATAATAGGGATTTTCTTTCGTGCGATCCAAGAGATTAAACAAAGTTATTGTTGAACATTCAGAAATAAATGATTTCATGTATGTTTGCTCGATTGAGGACCATACAGTTGAGATATTAATATCTCATATATTTTCCATAACAATGCGCGAAGTAGGTACTTCGCGCACTGTTTTACTTCGCACATTGTTTTGTGCGAGGTATCATGGTAACGTAGGAAACTGAAAAAAAGTGTCACTTCGCAATTTGTAATCAATGCGCGAACCTTGTCATTTTTTGACGTTTGTAGAAAAAAACACTTTTGAAATATTAATGATCAAGAACTGTCATACCTTGATAGTTATTTGTCTTACTAGGCAGGCAGTCAATAATTCGTTAGAGAACTGTTATTCACTTGGAGAAATATTATATCTTTAATATTCTTTCAAGAAAGATATCATTTTTGGCAGTAATGATAATAAATTAATATTTCAGGAAAACAATCTCAAAGATACCTAGATCGTCCTTCGTCCCTAATGAAACTCTGCTTTGCAGCAAAATACATTTGATGTGTCCTTCGTCGTGAATCGATTATCAGCTGGCATAGACCAACATGATGAGGCCTGGCAAGCCGAAACAGTCTGTGTCGCATCAGCTGATAATTCTCTAAAATCTCTATTTCTTGGAATATTATGTGTCTTCCTCTAATTAATTTTTTCGTCGACCACTTCAAAAAATCACATTTTACGTTCTAATTCCCGAACGAAAAACCGACTATTTCCGAAGGCGAGTACTTTTCGGCCGCAGACACTAACTTTTCGAAGCAAACACTTTTCATCAGATGATTATTTTTTTATGGCTAAGATTATTTTGTTTGTTCCTATATTGTTGGAAATAGAGGTTACTTTTCTGTTTACTAAAAGTACATAATGTTTTGACGTCATGTATGTTCATTTCTTTATTCTTTCTTTGAAGTCGAATAGCATAAAATAGCTCTGAATCTTTGACAAGGTATTTACTGATGAAATAAAAATCAAACTGGCAACCTTGGTCCGCGCAGAGAGTGAGTTGACAACAAGTGTCAATTGCTGTTGTCAAATTAATTATTCACGAAGTCCGATAGATTCAACGTGTGAATAGGACCGTGATGTGAATATAAGTGTTTGAGGTCAACGGAAAAATGTTATATGTTACCGCGGCGAAAAACTGTCTATTGTCTCGCCAGATTGCTAGCCTCGGTTATCAATTTGCAAACTCGACTGTAATAGACTGTTTTTTGTCCTTGGTACATAAATAAATATTTTAGGTAAAATCGACATTTTATCAGGTGGCGGCGTAAGCCTGGTGAGGCTATTTGGAGGTAACAGCAATCTCTATCTAATTATTCACGAAGTCCGATAGATTCAACGTGTGAATAGGACCGTGATGTGAATATAAGTGTTTGAGGTCGACGGAAAAATGTTATATGTACCGCGGCGAAAAACTGTCTATTGTCTCGCCAGATGGCTAGCCTCGGTTATCAATTTGCAAACACGACTGTAATAGACTGTTTTTTGTCCTTGGTACATAAATAAATATTTTAGGTAAAATCGACATTTTATCAGGTGGCGGCGTGAGCCTGGTGAGGCTATTTGGAGTTAACAGCAATCTCTATGTCTGTTTTGGTGATGATGGTATCATATATGGAGAGGTGGGTGGTATTTTTGGAAATTTTTCTGAATTATTGAAATGTTTTTGTTTTGCGCCTGACTTTGCTATGCTGACTTTTGTTCTGTGAATATAACTAAATAGGCTTACTTAGGCGCTGGAGGACCAGTATGAGTTTTTTTCAACTTGCTCAATACGCTTAGGGTTTCGCGAGACCAAGAGTCCAGTCTTGGTGTTGTCTTGGTCTTGATACAAGACCAAGACCAAGATTAAGACTTAATAAATCTTTCCAAGGCCAAGACCAAGACTTGACTTTTGAGATCAAGACCAAGCCTCTCCCAAGAGTCTTGGTCTCGAAAGAAAAATAATGAGCTTAAATCTACTCAATATTAAGATAAATATGATAGAAAATTTGATGGCATTTTATTTCAGTTATTTATTCATCATATAGTAGGTTTTGAATTATTGTTTACTCAAAATCCAAAATACATTTTTCGAATTCAGTATTGCGGCCTGTTTGCTGTTTGGGTCTCATCTAATGTTTATTCAAGGTTTCTTAAAAACCATATTCTTATGGTGAAAAGAGAAGTTTATTTCGCTTACTATATACCTACAAATTGACAATTTTAAAGACTCAGAAATACGAAATAATTTCCTATAATATGCACATAAACTGTTGGGTATTTTTGGATTGGATAATTCAAATTTCTAGACGCATTTTGATCCAAGACCAAGACTATCAAGACCAAAGCCAAGACTGAGCCAGTCTCGTCTTGGTGTTGACACATCAAGACCAATACCAAAACCAAGACTACATTTATTTTCTGAGACCAAGGCCGAGACGAAGCTTGCTTAAACGCAAGAGTGCCAGTTTGTGCTTTCGTACATAGTTCGTTGTCCCTAGTTTTTGGAATATCGGTAAATACAGGGTGAGTCATGAGGAACTGTGCAAACTCCTATCACGAATAGAGGCCCCCGAGGGGAATGCCTTATGACCATCAGACAGTGTCTTTTCCTGTTCTTCACTAATATATAGGGTGAATTATGGGATTTGGCAAAAACATCTTTTGGTCATAACTTCCCAACAGCTTCTTCGATATGTCTTTTTTTTTCAAAAAATATTCTGTTACTACTATCTGATCGACTGACTTATTCGGAATCAGAAAAATCCAGGACCGTTCTTGAAACATTTTACTACTTTAATTTATGTCAAAAAGTTCATCTTGTAAATATATGGTTTTGTAAACTGTGACAGGGAATATTCAGAGGTCACGAACGAACATCAAAAATTAAATATCCAACATTTTTCTCACACTTTCACAGATATTTTCAAAAAACGATACATTTTCAGAAAAAAACGAAATTTTGGCAACGAATTCATTTATTTGCAAATTGATACTTCGCAACCCATAAACTTCACGAATGAAAAGTAAGACTTACATTCTCAATATTTTAACTCAATAGAAATCAACATGTTCTTTTATTTCCAGGCCTGGATTTCGTCATTTTATTTTTTTGTGAATAATAATCACTCTGTAGATATTTCACGAATCAGTGGATGAGGGGGTATCTGTATGGATGTTGATGATGGCCATCGATTTGAATAATTTTATGATTACGTATATCACCCTGTATAATTTAATAGAAAAGTCAACTTCAACTGACGATACAATTGAAATAGAAAATAATGATTAAAGCCTACTCATAGTATCTGATGAGTCATTTCGTTTGCTTCTTGGTTTTTCAAAATCGAATTTTCAATAGCAGCGCTATGGCTTGAGGTTAGCAATCATCAACATACAGATTTACTGCAGTAAATCTGTATATTATGTACCCTCATATTGGATGGATATCCTGTTGTTGATACTTCCCATGTTACTTTTTACTGTTAGTATATACATTTTCCCGCGATTGGCCATCTGAATTTGTGATTATGAAATTGAATCTTTCAGAATATTTACCGAAACCATATTGGAGGTTTGTGAAATCCCTCGTGAACCCTCAAATCATCCGATGTCCCATAATTCACCCTATATATTAGTGAAGAAGAGGAGTATACACACCCAGATGCCTCTATTCGTGGTTGGAGTATGTACAGTTCCTCATGACCCACCCTGTACTGTATCAGATAGAAACTCTTTTCTGTATCTCATCTTATAGAATTCTTTGGAATACCCGAAAATTTCTCCCGTTGAAAATAAAGTGAATCCATTTGATGTCAGTATGAGACGAAAATGTCGAATTATGATTATTATTAGAATATATCTACTCCCTTGTTGACAAATACTTATAGGTACTTCTTTTATTCTTTACAGGAAGATCCTACAAATGAGGGGACAATTTTCGTAGAAGAATTTCAAGGATCATACTCTGCATTTATGTCGAACCTTTATGCTGGATGGTATATCGGAATAAAGAAGAATGGCCTTCCAAAAGCTGGCAATCAAACGAAATATGGACAAAAAGCTATCAAATTTTTGCCGCGAAGACTTTAAAACTAATGATTTCTGTTCTAACAAATCAGTATTTTTTGCACACACATGACAGATAGCTTGTTTCGCATGTTCAGGATGCTTTTCACATCATTCTTATTACAATGACAAAATACAGGGTGTCCCTAAAAGGTCTGTTCAGAACGTTGACACAGTCTGAGGTTAAAATATGGGGAGTAGCCCAAAGTTGAAAATTTACAAAATGAAAAGTTTCATCGATGTTGAATACTGTCTGTAGGTGATTCAAAAAGGTGATATTAATTTCTAGTGATTCTTTGGAACTTTTCTCCTGGTTTCTAAACAGATATTTTATAATAATATATTCCTTCTATCGCACACGCCACGTTGTGGATATAGCCCTTCTTTTCCATTTTTCAACCTATTTGTTATGAGAAAATCGAGGTAATGACTTGGTTGGTTTTCTTTTTATGAAATATGAAACGATTGGTGTTAGTTTTAAGAATTTTCTCTATTATATTCTCCCTATTAATATCCTCCTAAGGTATGTGATTTAATATGAATTTAGTCTTCCTTCATCTCTAGTCTATTTTTTTTATCTGGAAATCACTGATACTAAAAGTCACTATACGATACCAATGGACTTGCTCGAGCTGTCTTTTCTGTTCAATTTTCGATAACCACTTGTATATCGGACACCCTGTTTGATAATTGTGAGAGGTTAATTTCTCAAATACAAATAAAACTCAAGGTCCTAAGAATTAGAGTATATTTTCGAAATTGAGATTACAAAGTGCGAACACTAGAAATCTAAAAATTACATGACTTAAGTAGGTATTTATTATACACATCATTTAATATTTTAGAAGAATATAGTATTGTATTGCGTTTGATTTTCTTATTTGCGATTGTCTGTCACCAATATGATAGATGTTCTTTTTCCTTGGTGAATGGGTAGATACGTATCTTGATTCATTTTTTGACAAGAAGCTTCTAACACAAACCTTAGAAGCTCGGCAGCTACAAGGATTGAATTCACAAGGTGAGTCGGGATGAGAAGTGTACCAAACTCTAATAGTGAATTCTACTCGTGAAAATGTTTCTTAAAATCGGCAACCATCAAGAATCGTATTTGTTACCAGAAAGCTATTGCAAGTCATTGTACAGGGTGATTATTTATATTTTACTCAATAGCTATCTCAGTTAATATTGGTCCTATACAGAAAAGTTCAAATGGGCAAAAAAGAAGCATTTTTTATGGGCGTTCAGAATCTATTACTAGTATATGCCAGAAAGCATCATTAAGCAGAACAATTTTAGAGCTCTTTCTGCTGATCTTGAATATATATTAATTAATAATCATAAGTGTATTGTATTTATTAATAATTCAGGTTATCTCTATCAGTTTTCGAAAAATATAGATTCTGAGGCCAGTAAGGTAGCTGATGTCAGTCGGTGGCACTCAGCATCAATCCTACTGAATAATCTGGACTGATATATCAAGTTTCAATTTTTTTTTGCTACAGAGGTTCTGGAGAAATCTTGACTTTTTTCCTACTTTCGACACCCTGTATAGATAGGAACTTTTCACCTCAAAATGAGGTGAGGAATCCGTGAATGAAGTTTGTGGCCTTATTCTGACTCACCCTGTATAATGAGTCAATATGAAAAATTGCTTCGAAATATAATCAGTGGCGTAGCACTTCCGATTATACCAATTTTTGTGAAAATTCTCGAGTGGCACTATAAAATAGGTAGGTAGTTGGCCAATCAAGTATCTGCAACATTTTTAAAACTTGAATGGTTAAAATTTGACCAAAGCTACTATAAACTTATGATAATCTTCAGAGTGAACCTGAAAATCAGAATTCTATTGTCTTCTGAGGATCTAAACTCTATAAAGGAACCCCTGAAAGTAGTTTATTGTCAAATGGAATGCCCTGTATTTTATTCATTAACTGGATGGAAGATGCAATTCTGCTTCCATTGACTAAGGGTTTTCCATATCCAACTTCAAAATTTCTTGAGTTATGGAGACTAATTCATGAAAATGTTATATGGACATTGGCGTAACTAGGATTTTTCTCGATACCTCCACTATACCTTCAACAAATTGTTAATTTCGATACTCCATGTTCTTTGAAATTTCGAATATCTCAAACGATTCAACTTCTTTAAAATATATTACTTTCTAATGTTTCGCGGAGGTATTTTTTTCAAATGAACGCTCTGTTCAAATTACTTGACGTCTGTTTTTCTCGATTTTCAAAAGTAGTTCTGGTGGATATTTTGAATGATTGCTGTGTAAGGGAATTTTATTGTGGGCCGTCAACACTCTGAGGGGCATTCCTCCCCGTAGTTACGCCAATGTATGAGGATTTCGATTGCAAGATAGATAACACTGTTTAATCATGCATTTGAAATCCTCTTAACATTTTCATGAATAGCTTTGATGACATTTTGAACGGTTCAGTTTTAAGAATGTTACATATTATATGTATGTATATTTGAATATACTAGAGCAAACTCGAAAATTCTGTCAACAATGGTATAGTTCGAGAACTATTCGGAATCAGTATATGAAACATATAAAAAATCCCAAAATAATATGTAGAGATCATAAAGGAGATGAAATATAGGGTTTTCTATTTGAAACAGAAAAGTTTGTCCATCTTCGGTCGTCACTGACTATATTTAAAATCGATTTTAGTTATGTCTTGCTTCTAATTCTGGAATTTTTATTCGAGTAGAAACATCGAAAACTTAAAATGAACGGGTTACATGATGAACACTGTATAATTAATCATTGTACTACGTAAGATCAAATGAAAATCCTCCATGTGTTTTCGAATTATTTCCACATATAGAATATACTCACCTCAGACCTCGACCTCACCCTGCATAAGAGTTATGAGACTTAGACATTGGCTAAGCTCGTTAGGGACGGCTACTGCAGTCTAGCTAATACCATCCAGTGACTCTATTGTAGACATGCTACGAATTTGACATTATTGCGTGAGTTTATCAAGGTTTTTGTTTAGGTACCAAAACGGACGGAAATATAACTATTTCACACAAACTACATTAGAAAATTATATAATATCCAACTAGCGCATAATGATGGTTATTGCTCTAGAAGATGAGGAATGCAGTAAGAGCCTCAGGCCACTTCTGTAATAATCTGGACGACTAATATATAGTCATTATGCGGGAGTAGAATACTATAATTCATCTACAACTATTCGAATATCAAAACAACTTTGAAGGTATTTCTATTCCGATAATATCTAGGTATGGCAAAATCGACAAACCTTGCGGAGTGTATCATTGAATATCTCAGTTTTGTCATTATAAAATAAAACAACTTATTGAGTAACATTTCTAGAATTCAAAAAACAACAACATAATATAATTTATTTTGATAATGAAACAATCCGCAGACTATCGGAATTAATGGAGCCAACGCCACTGCAAATGATTGTAAGCTTCTGGTTTTTGCACTTCGAGTCTATTTTACGAACGGTTGCCTGAATTGTTTTTCAGTACGCTAACACCAATAGTATTTGAAAGGTACTTATACGAAAAGTATACATCCTTCGGACATCCCATTTGCTATGAGGACGTCTCTGGGACATCCCTTGTCGAGGCATGATTCATCTCAGAAACGTCCTTCAGGTCGTCTCAGGAATATTAGGAAGTTGTACCATGTACAGGGTGATTCAAACTTGCAGCCCTTGGCTCATAACAAGAGGAGGAAAACAGTTAATGCAAAATGTCAGTGTCAATTTTGATTACCAATTTTATTAGAATTTCTTGGAACGGTGCAGAGCAACAAACTTTTCCCGCCTAGGCAGTAAAAGTACACCTTTTAATGCCTGTTGAGTGTCAGAGAAAGCCACTTTCCCTGCCACTTGGAGAAAAAGTTCTTTCTTATCTTAATTTGGTTAAATGATATGGAACTCTGGAGTTGGTTTTTTGGATAATAAATAAAAACAAACCTAACCTAACCTGAGTCCGCCGTGATATAAATCATGTCGGCTGGCGGGTTTTATTACGGTGGGTCAGTTGAGATTCATTTGAAAATGCCAACTTTAGAGTTCCATATACCTATCAACCAAATGAAGATAAAAAATAACTGTTTAAATGAAAGTTGTTTAAAAAATTTGTTCTTTCAGGGAGGTGTTCCCCGATTATTATAACCTCCAGAAATTTGAGGAGAACACCAATTCCTACCTTATTTCCCTTGGTTCTCACGATGTTCTCTGAACATTACAGGATATCCCTTTCCGTGGGAACCAGAACATACAAAAAAATAAGATAAAAATTTAACTTAGTAGGAAAAATGATTTTTCCATTTCCGCCATTTTGAAAAAGAGTTGAAAAATGTTTGAATACGAAAAAATATACCTTACACACAGCTCAAATTCCATCTGCCCAATTTGCATTTGCAGTTGTCTTTTTGTTATATGCCAAGAGCGGGAAGTTTAAATCGCGGTCATCCTGAGGTTGTTCTATATTACCAACAGAAATACATCCTCTAGACATCCCAGAGACGTTCCTCGTATGGAAAATTCATTCTTGAAATATTCTACAGATGAAAACAAAAAAATACAGCGTGAAATGATCCAGAGTTAATGAAACTTCAACACCAAAAAATTATTATTGATGATACATTTTATGTTTCCCTATGGGATGATTTTGACCCAATCTTCTATAGATGAGTAGGAGAGCTTGATTCGCACTCTACTATTACAGCTAAAATGTATTGCAATGTATGTTCTACCTAAAATGTAGGTATTACAAAATATGGAAAAGAGTATTGAAAATATCAGGGACTCGAATGGGACAACTTATGAATATACCATATGGGAAATCTATGTGTTCTATCCGTCTCCTTGAACTGTGGGGCACAATTCAAATAAACCTAAGACATCTCTGTACTGTTAAAGTAGAAGCATTACTCGACTTTCTTGATTTTTTCTAGATAAATGAATGTCACAATTATTTCAGTCAGTGCATGAACTCTCAACTTTTATTTGATCAAACGGCACCTGTGCCAATCACTTTCTTAATTCAAAAAAAGTACATATACGATTTCTTATTCAAATTTATGAACTGAAATTAATTTAAAAAAATACGAAGGAATGGTTACTCGCCTCTGATTTTAATATGTACATCGAAGTCATGAATGACAGTTTGGATATTCTGTCGATGAGATCAGCCGTTGCGAATGACGGAATAGTTATTTATGAATCGAGGGCGTAAAATATGCTTTTATATGGACCATAGCGTGTATGTATTGACACGCCTAGGTCCTAGGTCCATAAAAGCAAGTTACGCCCGAAATACAAACAGCATTTTAAGCACGACCGGTATATTTGATTCTTCATTGTGAATACCTCTTTAGCTCTCAAACACAATAGAAATACATCATGGCTGCATAGAGGAATATCATTGATAAAATCAACGTTACCATGGTAACTCAGTCAATTTATATCATCACAGATGATTCATTTTATTTATTATCAAACATTGATGTCCTCAATTATACAGGAATGCTTATCACGTGACGCTCGGCGCATAACCGGGTGGTGTGCTACTTTACTCCCAGTCGTGCATACAAAAATAAATAGGAGAGAATCGTAAAAACAAGTGTGAACTGCGCAAATCTGCGTTTGTACTGCTACTCGTGTTCGCAAATGATCCTTTTATATATACAGGGTTTTTGCAAATGGCATGTATATATTGAAGGGTTCAATTATTTGGCTATTCAAAGAGGTTTCTATAAATATATGTCGTAATCTTATTCGTTTTCAAAATACAAGGTGTCAAAGTTGATTCAACTACTAGCCAACCCCTGAACAAGAATCGGAAATATTTCAATGAATCGTTGATAGATCCTGATGGCAAATGAAATAGTGAAATCTTTTGGCCAATCGGAATTTTAGTGGCACCGTTTTATTGTTTGCAATTCTGTATTTCGAAAACGAAGCGATTGCAGACTTATATCATAGGAAATTTTGGTCCTTAAATAAACCATGTTCACGACAATAGGAACACCCATGGGCGCTGCCAGTAAAAATTCCAGGGGGATGGGGCGTTTTTGAAATTATAGGATCCCTTTGACCAATTTTGACTATACGAGTGTGGTTTGAAAATATTACGGAAAGGATATAAGGTAGGTTAAGTGGGTCAGTTGATAAGTACTGAATATAAGAACGAATTCCAGAAAAATTATTCTTCTTTTTAAACAACATTTGCATGAAAGCAAAAATATCACAAAAATTAAGGAAACATGGCTGAAAGTCCCAAATTGATGATCATTTGAAATACATATTTGTATAAATAAATTGAAGGAAACATATTTCGTAAGAATATGGAACCTAATCCTAGGTAAATAAACTGTAAACTGTAAATCTTGATTCTTTGGTAAATCAAAAAAACTTCATATTAAAAATGTACTTATACACGTATTGTTGTATGTTATCTATATTATAAATGAAGCAATATGCATATTATATAGGTAACGAAAATATAAAATAGACAATCTTTTTCACCAAGATATTACGTCTAGACTGAAAAGGCTAAAATCCAGGGGGGGGGATCCCCCTCCCCCCTTGCCTCCAAGTGGCGGCGCCCATGGGAACACCCTATAATGGAATCAGAAACTATTCATTTCAATAATTCTTATATATAGACAAGGTTAGTTTTTATCAAGTATTTTTAATCCAGTCATCAGATTGCTTTAGATGTTGCATTTGAATATATGCTTTCTTGAAATCCTATATTATATTTCTATAGAGCTATCGAATACTCAGAATCACACTTTGTTCCACCTTCAATGAATAAAATGAAGGTATCTACAACAACATGAAAATAAAGGTATAGGTTGCAGCCCTCAAATTGATGTCTTGTTCCTTTTTGACAATACTTCAAGAACTATAGGTATCTACAACTTTCATAGTAAAAATCAATCAAATAAGTTTTGCTGTCCTGATTTTTTTGTCACGTAGGTAATTTTCAAAATTCTCTCTGAAAAATCATAAGAAGTGAGTTACGATTCATCTGCATAATATTACGTACCTACGTTCTATAGACGCTACAAGATACACGTATAAAATTGACCCATTTCTAAAACTAGAGATGTAGGTACCTACTTTTACTACCGTTCTTTACAATATTCTACAATGCTACAGTCACTGTCTTCGTTGTCTTCTTCTATGATATCTTCTAATCTCCTGTCCTCTATCACCACCACTACATCTTTTCTAAAACAAGTTTATTCTAAATACAAATAGCGTTCGACTACATTTGTAGACCACCAGGAGAAAAAGGGGAAATGTCACAATACAGGGCTTTCATTTCAAAAATTACCACCCTGCATAGCTTCTGATCTGCGAAGATCACAATTTTCGGAAAAAATAGGTCGATTTAGATATCGAGGGGGAAGTAAAATAACAGTATCAATTGAATGCTATGTTCATCCCCTTCACCCCCAGACACCCCTACTTGAAATCTCAAATGGCACCGCCTACTTTGAGATACATAAAATTGAAGGTAATATACATACTCCTACAACGAACAGAGGCCCCCGAGGGGAATATCGAATGGCCATATGGAGTTTTCCCTCATCTCCTATAATGATAAACAGGGTGGTTTATAATATTGAGCAAAAACATATTTTTGTCACAACTTTTCAACATCTCCTGTGATTCATTTCATTTTTTCGTGGAACATTATGCACTCCAACACCAATAGACTAACCCACTAACGCGTATACAGAATTGGAAAAAATCCAGGACCGTTTTTGTGAAATGTTGCCAGCTATCAAAGAGTTCACTCTGTATATGGTTTCAGTGAACAATGACACCATTTCTGTCAATCAGAACAGAATGTGTTGGTGCTTCATCCAGCTGAGAATGGTATACCCTAAATTAGTTCCTTTCAAAACCAACTAGACTGATTTATTTTGACGAATCGTGTCTGAGAAGAAATTCAGTTTTTCAGAGTGGTATTCAAAGAAATTGCTCAAAATGTGCTTCATTATTCTCTAGACAATAGTACAGCCTATTTTCGAATTCTTCATGAACTTTTTGAAACGTTCCCAGATTGATTTATCTGTATTGTGACATGATTCTTCTTTTGAGCCTATCAATATCTTCTGGTGAAGTCTTATGAACCATTGTTTTCAAGTGACCCCACAGAAAGAAGCTAAGAGGTATCAAATCTGGAGATCTTGCTGGCCATTCTATGGCACTTCTTCTGCCAATCCACTGCCTAAGAAATCGTTGATTCAACTATTCTCTTACGTCTAGAAAAAAATGTGGTTGAGCTGATTATTTTCGTCCAGCAACATATTTTCATGATCATCGATTTGCCTCTCTAAAGATCGTGTAATCAGGGGATCAATTGTATTTTACAATAAATCCAGGTACAATTGTCCATTCAAATTGTCTTCAATGAAGAGTGGTCCAATTATCTCATTTCAAGAAAAACCAGCCCACACATTGATTTTCTCAGGAAACTGAGTATAGTCCTGTCGAAATATGTGTGGATTTTCATTGTCCCAGAATCTACAATTATGTTGAAGCACCGACACATTCTGTTCTGATTGACAGAAATGGTGTCATTGTTCACTGAAACTATATACAGAGTGAACTCTTTGATAGCTGGCAACATTTCACAAATACGGTCCTGGATTTTTTCCAATTCTGTATTCGTTAGTCGGTTAGTCTATTGGTGTTGGAGTGCATAATGTTCCATGAAAAAATGAAATGAATCACAGGAGATGTTGAAAAGTTGTGACAAAGATATTTTTTCGCTCAATATCATAAACCACCCTGTTTATCATTGTAGGCGATGAGGAAAAACTCCAGATGGCCATTCGATATTCCCCTCGGGGGCCTTTGTTCGTGGTAGGAGTATGTATATTACCTCATGCCACCCTGTATGCAAAATAAATTATTTTTCACCTGGTTGATTTGATTATCGAAAGAATTTCAATTTTATGTATCTCAAAGTGGAGGGTACCATTTGAGATTTCAAAGTAGGAGTCTCTGGGGGTGAAGGGGATGAACATAGAATTCAATTGATACTGAAATTTCACTTTCCCCTCGATATCTAAATTGACCTGTTTTTCCCGAAAACTGTAATTTTCGCAGATCAAAAGATATGCAGAGTGGTAAGTTTTGAAATGAAAACCCTGTATAGTGGAAATTGACTTGACACCGCCATCTGATAGACAAACCACTATATTTCAGTATAAACAGAAGCACATAGCAATAACGCATCATAGAAAAAAACGTTCACCTGGAAAAAACGCGGAATGTCCACTTCAAAAATGTGAAGAAAGGGAAACGTCCAAGCTTATAGTGCTTGCTTGAATCATAGATTGAATAGAGATTCCATTGTGCTTTTAAGAAGTTGTTTTCACACTGTCAAAAGGTCGAAGTGAACGCTCAGGCAAACAAAAAATGAGAGAAAAAGGGATACGACCACCTTTTTATCATCTCTTGGAGCGCACGAAAGGGAATCCCTATAATGTTCGGGGAACATCGTGGGTGCCTAGGGAGAATGGTGGAGGAGGTAGGTATTGGTATTTTCTTCAACTTTTGGAGATCATAAGTTCTTGGGAGTACTCTGTTTTAGCAAAGAGTTGTTCAACATATTTCGAGGATGACGACACAAAGGTGTGCTGACTGGGCTTGTCGAGTACGTCTGAGTGATGGGAATTAAATGATGAGATTGCTACATGATGATTCCTACTCATATCGCGAGGAATTTATAGAAAATGATTAAATTATAGAGATACTAGATGTACTATATAAGACAATTTACCGCTCATTGGGTAGTCAGACAAGAATGGCAAAATGTACCAGAGCAGATAATTTTTCCTTTGAATCTTTGGACTTATTTTTTGTTTTCGATGATTTTTTCATTCAAATATGATATTTATTTCTAGTTGTTCAACTTTATAGCTCATTACACTTCATGCGTTTTTCTCGAAACTTACTTTTTGTGACATTCCCCTTTTTTCCCCTGTGGTCTTCATTTGTGAAGGGTGAAAGAATCATTGCAGGAGATGATTTGATAAAAAACACATATTTTGGTTCAAAGGATCGCTACTTGTTTTGATATCGGATTTTTTTATCTCTACTAGATTATGAAGAAATTTTCATGACAGAAATCTCATTCATTCAAACCAGGTGCAGCAGACGGAATTGAATAAAAAACCACAGAGATATTAAAATCCAGAAAATTGAAATAATATTCGAGTTCGTTTGTTTATAATTGAAGCAAAATTTATTTGTGTTACTATAAATTTGCGAATTGTGTCTTGTACCATAGATATAAATATTTAGATCTATGCTTGTACTATATGCAAGATAAGGTTGCACAGCACGGGGGGGACCTCGGAAACGGGAGGAAATATGAATTTGGTTAAATGAGAAAAAAATTGCGCAATTCGAGGTTCATACCAACGACATTCAAGATTTCCCAAATTGTTTATAGTTTTTCAGTTATAACGAAAAAACTCAATTCTTGAAAAAAAAAAATGTCTTACGTTATTATCAGAGATACTGAAAACACTTTTCCATAGCAACTTTCGATGAGATAAAATGTGGTGGTGATATTGATTTCTCTACATGACGTTTTGTTCGTAGAACCATCATCAAATTTTTCTTAATACTATCCAGATTATGTGTTCAGAGATTCTGATAGCTTCTTCATTCTTAATTCAAATATTACTCATAGTGGTTTGAATGTGTTTCGACCTAGTTTTAGCAAACTTCAATGTTTTTTCGAAATCCCAAAGAGAAAATAGCATCAGTTCCACTTATTTCTGATCAATCAGTCTCAAACATTGATGGAGTAGTTATTCAATATACTGAAGAGTAAAAAAAAAATATTTTATAAATTATTCAATGCAGAGGGATCAAGTTTATGGATATTCACGAACTACCTTGATAACCAAATTTAATCTACAATAATCTACAGTCCCTTGGCCGAAACGATCACCTGATTAGACGTCACCAGGATTTTCTTTTTGGATAAACCTTGTTTACGCAAATTATTCTGATAACGAAGAAGAACTAATAAGGGACAGTGTCATCGAAGCATCCTATGTATTACCCCAGAAATGCTTATAAATGATCTGTAAGAAGAGTACCTATATCTGTGTTTAGAAAATAATAATTATAATTCTGAACATTAGTTTCGAATGTTATTTTTTTCAATTACTGTTCGTGTTATCGGAGTTTATTTATCAAGGTAATTTGTGTAAGAATCCATTAAAATGAATAGAAATAAGTGAATCTGATGGTATTTCCTCTTTAGAATCTCTGAAAAACATTGATGATACCTAAAACTAGGTTGAAACACATGCAAACCTCCTTGTATGGTTGAATTCATAATGATGAAAGCTATCTGAATCTGTGAACAAATAATCAGAAACTCATTTCAAAAACAGTTGATGATGGTTCTACGAATATGAAATCAATATCAACACGTTAAATGTCATCAACATTTGCTGTTGCTATTTTCAGTTTTTTATCACATTCAACCAAATTCGTATCTCCTCCAGTTTCTGAGATCCCGATGCTGTGCAACCTTATCTTGCTCACACTGTATAAATCGATTCTCTGGCATCTTTCATGTGTGACTGAACTTGATAACTTTTATGATAGGTAGTTGATACTTGTTGATAAAAAGCTATCTGAATCTTTGAACACATGTTGATGATGGTTCCACAAATATGAAATAAGCATGATATTGCAACATGAATAGAATAGAATAGAATAAATATTGCAATTATTATCAGCCTAATTAACAGACTAATATGGCAAACTATTTGTTTAATTGTTCAATATAAAATATATATTTTTTTTGTATTACTGCCGATCAGAGCATAAGCCCTATATTGTCTTTTTATTTAAACTGTGAATAGATATATAAAATTTTACACTTCTCTCCTGCAGTGATCTGTTCTATTATGCCTGTCTTACCGGATTCATGCAAACCAAGGCTCTAAATCATCCGAATAGTGTAGACTGCATGCATGAAATCATAAAAAAATATAGAAAAATACATATAGGTAACACAACACGAGAAAATGTACATGAAACTGCAATAGATTTATGACTTTTATCAAGTACATTTCAGAGAAATCACATTACGTATTCATAGTCATATTTACACGGAAGGTATTAATCGAACATTTGCTCTTGACTCAGAGCCAGAATCGATAGTTGAAGTTATAGAACCAGTGGCATAACTAGGGGTATTTTCTGGGGTGAATCTGCCTAAGGCCTAAACCTAAAACAAATTCGAAGATACGTCTCTAGTTAAGGAAATATATGGTGGGTTTTGGGCCAATTGTGGAGCGTCTAAAGCAAAAGAAAGTATCAATCAGGAGGAAAGATCAAAACAAGATAATAGAGGGACGATGGCTAAGCCATCCAGGATTCAGCAAGATTCATTGTCAGTTACTAGAACACTGTATTGGGTTACTCACACACTGTAGCTTAATGTGGCACAAGAGTGCCATCAACAAAAGGGCAGAAGCAATCTGGTTTTGAATAAAAATGAACCCTAGTCTATGTCCTATGTAACTGGGATGGCGTGACAAGATTTAAGATTTCGTTGTCTCGGCGGAAATAAATTGAAATCCACATCTTCCATACAGGAGCTGAACTGTCAAGAATATTGACTAAGTTGGACTACAAAATACTCTAAGTAACTTAGTTGACCTGGAATTTGGGAAGGTTACTGTGCTACGGACAAGACAAATCTGCTGAACTCATCTTCTGAATCTGAATCTAAGGACTTTCCCAATATCATCCATCATCCACCGATGCACAGAGATGGTGGACGAATTCTAGTAGTTTCCCGAAATGACAGCGACAGCATAACCTCAAAAAACTGAAAACAAAATATTGGATTTGGAAGCTGTTTGCCATTTGTCTGATATGGATAAATTACTCGAAATCGCCCTAGAATATGAAAATACAAGAATATAGCTGCATTATTGACACCAACAGAAATTGAAGAAATTTTGAATAGTAGGTACTTTTTTTCCATCATGAATTTCAAGAAATCGGTGCAAACATCCAGGAAACTTAAATACCAACAGAGAATTCTTATTAGACTCCATCCATATCATCATAATTTTATGCAATGTTTTGTATATAGGTTGTTGAGAATTTCCAACCTATCTTGTCTACTCCCCAATATAAACAATATTTCATCCTCGGAAGAACTGCTAGAACTTCTGGATCTGGTAACAAGGATTCCAATAACACTTTTAATACATCATTTTCTATTTCACATTTTACATTAGTTTTCGCCAATTCTGAACTTCTAATCGAAAACAATCCGAACCCCTATCGAATAACTGCGGTTTTTTTCAACACTGATGACTCCAATGAATCGATGCATCAGAGAGTGGCGTCATTTCCATCAATGATAAAAATATGGTGTGAAAAAGAACATGTCTCATGTGTAGACTTGGATCCATATGAAGGACATCAAGTTCTGCTACCAAATATAAATTTTGAGATGTTCAACTACAAACGTCAAATTGTCGCAGTTTCATGTACCTATATTAGCGAACACAACATTATTATGATTTCTTACCGTCGTGAAGGCAATTGGGGTACATGATTTTTGACGGTTTCCAATAACTCCATTACTTCTGGAGTAGAAGTACTCTGAATCACACTGGCTCCTCTCAGTTCGCGGAGTTCAACGCCCCGAAAAAGCTCACACCTGAAATCGGAAATCGTACAGAAATTACAATATAGTTCGAATTGGTGACATAAAGTCCAAAGCAAGTGTTGCCTATTTGAAATTATATTTCATTGTTTTGTTTATAGTTTGTTGCCGTTTCTGGGATCGGAGCCTGTACTATAGGTATAGTAAGGAGCCAAATTACGTCAGCCCACGATGAATGGGCGGACAGGGCACTAGGAGAATACTGCAGGAATATCACAGGTTGCAGGCAGGCCAAGGAATTTATGGCCGGTCCAAGCATATCAAGGAAGGAGTGGCTGCTTGGCAGAGACCGCCAAGTACTCCGCCTCCTCATAGGAGAAATCACAGGACACAACAGGCTAGGCAGACACCTAGGTATCACTTATGGGAATAGGGGGCAACCCCACTTGCCGCAGATGCGGGGAAGACGAGGAAACGTCACTCCTTTTTCTCGGCGAGTGCGAGGCGTACGGAAGGCTGAGATTTGAAATCTTTGGAGTAGACAAACTCCAACAGGATGACTTGATTATATTAGAGTGGACGGACATACTGGCCTTCATCAGAAGGTCAGGGAGATTCGTGAAGGAAATCTAGGTGGAGGAAGCGTAGATATGTGGACAGCAGGGGTTAGCAAAAAGAGCCCATCGGGGCCTACTTGCTTGGCTACAGCCTCCCCACCTACTACTACTACTACTACTACTACTACTACCTCCATAACTTCCGAATTATCTGCATTTAATTCAAATTCGGTCTTGCATTATTGTTTTTCGAGATTATTTGCAGCATCTACCGCATTGGTCAATTTTGTATCTATAACTCTACAGAATATAGTAACGTATCATCTGTAATAACCAAGCACGTAATAATTAAGCCTTTCAAAAACCTCTACCCGAAGAGAGATGAGTGGAAAAGAGAATAAACCATAATCCCGAAACATGTACCTCTATGTGATCGACCTCTGATCGTCAAATAATGTGGAGATGACTTTGGGTTTCTTCATCTATGAGAATAAACCATATTCCCACAGACCACTGGAGTTCGAGCCGATGTAAGACATGCTAATATTTGAAGAGGTAATTCCTTGACTCATTTTGAGAAGGAAACTTTATATAAACGTATGTCATAAAAGTCTTAACTTTTGAAGTTCTGAAAAATATTCAGTTTTTTTATAATAACTGAGACAATTAATATTGTATACATCTTCATGAAATTTGGTACACGTCTTTTATGCATCAAGGTGCATTTTCTGATGTACAAACATTTTCTCCACCAGTGGCCCCGTTACGGGAATATCTTTCTTAAAAGTGAGCAGCGACGGAAAATTTTCAAATTTCGTACAATGCTATGAAAGGCTGTTCAATCATCCTCATGTTGATACTCGATAGAACGCCTCGTTTTGGAGAAAAACGGAAATACGAGACCAGACTTCTAATTTTTATGTCTGAGACCTCCATTTAGGACATCTATTACTGGATAACCACAGTATCTAACATTTTAAAATTCTCTTACCGATTCAGTCACATAGCAGACTGAATTTTGCGATCACGAGAAGATACAGGGTGGACAAAAAATAATCTATGCATATGTTCAAAAGTTGTCACTTCCATTATGACGAGTGGAGGGATTCTGAAAATGAGATCAATGTAAGCGTGGTTCTATACTAGACACGACCTTTAACTATCTTTATTTCTGGTTTCAATTCTTTCAATAAAAAAACAATTTTACTAAATTATCAATTGGACTTTCGATGTTTTGATAACTGATGATAATGTGTATGGATGGAAATGGCCAACATATAATTTTTGCAGTTCAATAATTCAAAAATGTTTATGAATATCAATATGGATGTTGAGATAAAAGATGTTCGTGTTTTGATTTCACACCAAATGGCCTAAAAATATATGGGGTGTTCCATTTGAAAAACTCGAGAAAATTTCCGAATTGAGAAATCATTTTATAGCCACCCTGTATAATTTGAGGACATAGAAATTCTATAGAAATATCACGCATCTTTCATAATTGTGAGTACAGTGTTTTTTTCGGCATGGATCTGCAGATGACATTATTTCGACAAGAAAATTAATAACTTTGAAATGATCAAGATATAGCCAAAAAAATCATAGGAGTAGATGGAGGTCACAAAGATGCTTCAAAAAATGTGCTAATTTATAGAGCATTCCATTTAAAAAAAGTTATTCTGACTCTATAGATTTTTTCTGGTGCCCCCTGTATACGCGGCAATAATTTTTAGTAATGGACCGTCTTGTCCCATTCACATTCGTTTTTGAATTAAGTTTCTAACTATCATAGAACTCGTGCAATTGAGCACCGACGCACTAATGTCCCACCCTGTATAACTCATGAACAATAAAGGAAATACAATATTTGCATCACGAAGTGCATGATTTTTATACTTTAAGATATACATATACAGGGTGTTTCACAGGTAAAGGGAAATATTTCAATGGTAGATAGGGGTCACCAAGGTGGTTCTGAAAATACCATATTTGATAGGTCTTAGAGTTTTTATAACGGAGATACAGGGCGATTTATCGATTCCGAATAATTATTCATTCGTCTATAAGTATTGAACTACCCAGTATATTTTTCTAAAATTTGGTATGGAGCTTAAACTTGGAACGTTGAATTCATTCACCTATCGGGCAAAGTGGGAATCCAGGTTCGGCTTCAGGAAAAATTTACATTTAATCGAAATATTAAAATAACACACTGTATGTAATAATTGACAAAGTTCATCAAAGGAATCTTTAAGAGGAGGAAAAACTGAACTGGATTTGATGCTTTTTGTTTTCCCGCCACCAATTCTCATCGTAACAATCATAAACAGGAAGCTAAAAGTAAGTCAATTTCAAGAGTATTAAAATTATGAAACCACTTTCAATTATGATTATTTGATATATTCTTGTTGAATGATCGTTCGAAAGAACTTACTTAGTCTCACAGTCTTCATAACAGAGAAACAGGGTGAATTATCACTCGTCCGTAAATATTAAACTACCCATCGTAGTAATATTTTCTCAAATTTGGTATTGAGCTTTTTTTTTTTTTTTTTTTTTTTTTTATCGCTTGGAGCGCACGAGAGGGAATCCCTATAATGTTCAAAGAACATCGTACGTTCCTAGGGAGGATAGGGATAGGAGGTAGGTATTGGAATTCTTTTTGAACTTCTGGAGATTATATGTTGTTGGGAACACTTCCACAGGCAATGAATTCCCTTACTTGGGACGATGGATTCATTGACCTATCAGGCAGAATGGAAATACAGGTTCAGCTTCAGGAAAAGTCTCATAGTCATATAACAGAGATACAGGGTGAATTATCGAATTATAATTCTGCCTGATAGGTTAATGAATCCATCGTCCCAAGTAAGCTACATACCATATTTGAGAAAATGTTACTGGGTAGTTTTATACTTATGGACGAGTGAATAATTATTCAAAACCGATAATTCACCCTGTATCTCCGTTATAAAAACTTTCGAGCGATTTTTTGACTAAAATATATCGAATAATCATAATTGACACTGGCTTCATAATTTCAATACTCTTCAAATTGACATACTTTCAGCTTTCTGTTTATGATTGTTACGTTGAGAATTAGTGGCGGGAAAACAAGAAGCATCAGACCCAGTTCATTTTCTCCTCCTCTTCACGATTCCTTCGATGAACTCTGTCAATTATTACACAGTGTGTTATTTTAATATTTCGAATAAATGTGGATTTTTCCTGAAGCCGAACCTGGATTTTCTCTTCGCGCGATAGCTGAATGAATTCAACGTCCCAAGTTTAAGCTCCATACCAAATTTTAGAAAAATATACTGGGTAGTTCAATACTTTTAGACGAATGAATAATTATTCGAAATCGATAAATCGCCCTGTATCTCCGTTATGAAAACTCTAAGACCTATCAAATATGGTATTTTCAGAACCACCTTGATGACCCCTATCTACCATTGAAATATTTCCCTTTACCTGTGAAACACCCTGTATATACATAAGATCTTTGTGATGTCTCATGCCCTTACCACAGATTAACAAATAAGGTTTGTTTGTGCCCTTACCTGGCCAATTCTTCCAAAGAGGGCGCACCACCCTCTCGAAAAATAAACTCCAATGCCTCGGCCACCCGCGGCTCCCCTCGTTCCAGCCCGAGCCTCAGGAGGGCAAGCGTGGGCGCTCCGGGGGGCGGCTCACGCCCCGTCGCCATCTCGAACAGCAGCCGCCCGAAGGCGAGGGCAGCGGGGGCGGGGCAGACGTGGGCGGAAGTCACGCAGGCGTGGGCGCAGGCGTGGGAGCTCACGCCCAACAGAGGGTTCTCGAGGCCGGCGAGACGAGCGACACCGTTCTGGATGATGACGTTGCCTGAAAGTGTGTTGTCGGGGTTGATTATGTTCGGATGGAGTATTCAAGGAAAATTTCGAAGATGGCCTACACTACACCTTTTATGGACCCACTACACTATTTCACCACTAACCAAACAAATTTTTTAAGCGCCTCGACACGTGTTTGAGGTACCTTATCAATTCGCGAAAATCACGAAGTGTGCGGCCTCTGGTGGCTAACTTTACAAGTCTTGCGAGTATGAACAACAAATATGGCGACCATTGTTTTGAGTTTCTGTGTTTTATTTGAAAATAATTTATTTGTTGAAGTGCATATTCCAGAACCTCATTTTTCCCTGATGAAAAAACTCGAATTATTGCATGAACTTTTATTGTTTACAATGAAGAAGCCAGTACCTACCCAATAATAATATAATATACATTTTCTGAAGCACAGTTAGAATCCTTGTATAAATGTTGGTTGCAATGATTCGATTTTGAGAATAACTTCAAGTCTTCAATTGCTGGAGATCCTTGGTTTATGTAAATCGATGACATTGTTCATTCTGAGCAGCGTCTCCAACCATATCTTCTTTTCCCAGCCCCTTCACTAGAATTCAATCTCCTTCATAAAAGCCAGTGATATTTCTTGATGAATTCAATTATTTCTTCATACCTATACCATATTGTTGTAATAGCGGATTGCTTATATGGCTCCATTCCAGTCCATGCAAGTGTTGAGTGGACCATTCCCACCATTCCATATGTTTGAAAACTGTGGAATTGTAGTGTGATATCAATGATGAATACTGTTAGGCAGTGAGTAATAAATCAGTGGATTCCTTTTCGGATAACTTTTATTCACACACTTTCGAAGGAAAAATATCTGTTATTAAAACAACTAACATAATCAATAACGAATCCATAGTTACATGACAAGTGTCTAACATGAGAATGGTCACACTACATATTACATAATATATTATATACAGTAGATATTGTCGATAGATTACAAACTATGAATTCCAACACCCTCACTTAAGCTATCGATAAATAAAATACTTCTCATTTCATACCAATCCCAGTAACACAAAATGTATGCTTGACCCCAGAGAGAGCTTTTGTCAAAAAATCTGCAATCATTTTTTCACCAGGCAAATATTCAACTTTAACAATATTTTTCTTTAACCAACGTTTGATTTGATGATATCTTAGATCAACATGCTTAATTTTACTTTGGGATGATTGCCCATGACAAACTTTGACCGCTCCCTGATTGTCATTAAATATTATCAGGTCATTTTGTTTAGCATACAGTTCTCTTAGTAGACCAAGTAAACCAATCCCTTACTTTCCACATTCACTTATCGCAACATATTCAGCAAAAGTGGTACTATCGGCCAATGTCTTTGTCCTCTGCTTTCGGGACCGCCAACTTATTGGACCTTGTGCAAATATATAAACCTGTATAGGATTTTCTATCTAGCAAACAACTTCCATAATCAGCATCTGCATAACCTTCTAAAATGTAATTTCCTTTTGAATAAGCTATTCCTAAATCAAGTGTTCCCTTGAGATACTTCAAAACTCTCCTAGCAGCATTCAGATGTTCATCATTATTACAAGAGTTAAATTGACTAATATAACTTACTGCGAAACAAATATCAGGCCTAGTGCCTACTGATAAATACATTAGTGCACCAATTATTTGCTGATAAACAGGATTATTACAGCCCTTATCAGGTTTGATCAGTTTGGTACCAGTTTCTATTGGTGTACAGACAGAATTACAATTCACCTCACCGAATCTAGACAAAATATCTCTGGCATAAATGCCTTGGTCGAGCTTAATGGTACCCTCTGTTCTGTCTCTTCTAACTCTCATCCCCAAGCATTCTTGAACATCTCCCAGATCTTTAATTTCAAATGCTTCAGCAAGCCTACTTTTCAAATCACCAGTCTCACTTTTGGAATTAGAGAAAATATAAAAATCATCCACATGTAGACCAATTACAATACAACCACTCTCATTTCGCTTCATGTACACACAATCATCATAATTAGAGCGTTTGAATCCAATTATCATTAAAAGATCATGAATCTTATCATTCCAACATTTTGCTGCTTGTTTGAGCCCATAGATGGCACGGTTCAATTTGCAGACTTTATTTTCACTTCCTTTCACCACAAATCCTTCTGGCTGTTCCATCAAAATTGTTTCTGATAAATGTCCATTCAGGAAAGCCGTAGTAACATCAATATGATCAATTTCGAGATCTAATTGAGCACTAAGTGCGAACAATAATCTAAGTGATGCAAGCTGAACAACAGGAGCATAAGTTTGATCATAGTCCCTGCCGGGAACTTGTGTGAAGCCTTTTGCAACCAATCTTGCTTTGTAGCGTTTAGATCCATTCATTCCCCTTTTAAGTTTGAATACCCACTTACATTTTACAATATTTTGGTCATCTGGTCTTTTTACCAATGTCCATGTATGATTGCTTTCAAGTGAACTTAATTCATTCCGCATGGCTTCCTCCCATAGAGATTCATCAGATCGATTGTATACATCATTCAAATTTGATGGATCATGAGGACTTACAGCTATAAAAGAATATTCATAATCACTATCTCTTTTTGATATTCTATTTCGTTTTGGATACCTTCCCCCAATGAGATTTGGTTCAGGATCATCAAAACCACGAAATTCATTTTCAACATCAATCATACCTTCTAAATCCTCATCTTCAGATTCTGTTTGTGATTCCAAAGTATATGAGTGACCCTCACTGGCCCCTCCTGGACCCACTCCATTGGCATCTTGAAGATACAATTCCTCGGTAATTGGAATCTGTATATCCACTTCTTGATTCACTACTGGTTCAGACTCAATGTTGGTTTTGGATTGCTCCACTGTGCTGACAAAATCATGCTCAAAAAATTCAACATTCCTTTCAACAAAAACACGATTTGGACAATCAGGATCAATCAATCTATAGCCTTTTGTTTCTTCATCATACCCTACAGAAATCATAGGTTTTGACACTTTGTCCAATTTATGCCTCTTTTGTTTCGGGACTTGCATTTGAGCACGACACCCAAAAATCTTGAGGTGAGAAACATCTACTTTTTCCCCTGTCCACACCTCTTCAGGAGTGGCTCCTACTACCGCTTTAGTAGGTGACCTATTTTTTAGATAAATTCCTACATTCATTGCTTCCGCCCAGTATTTCTTACAAAGATTAGACTCAAACAACAAACATCTTGTTCGCTCCATATTAGAGCGATTAGACCTTTCGGCAACTCCATTTTGTTGGGGAGTATACCTTATTGTCTTTTGATGTCTTATTCCACACTCAGCCAGAAATCTTTCAAATTCACCTGAAATATACTCCCCCCCATTATCTGATCTTAAACATTTGATAGTTTTACCTGTTTGATTCTCTACCATGATTTTAAATAATTTGAATTTAGTAAAAACTTGATCTTTTGATTTCAACATATATCCAAACGTCTTACGAGAAAAATCATCAACAAATATCAGACAAAAGCGGGCTCCGCCCCATGAAGGTTCTTCCATCGGGCCTTGGACATCAGAGTGAACAATCCCCAGAATTTCTTTCGCTCTTTTCCCCTTTTTAGGAAATGGTAACGCTGTTTGCTTCCCTTCAAGACAAGTTACACATGACCTGCGATCACATTCTTCAAAATCTAACCCAGTTACAAGACCATTTTTTAGTTGGTTCATTCCCATACGGCTTAAATGACCTAGTCTTTTATGCCACAATTCATTTTTAGACAATTTCACTAAAGTAAAAGCTCTCTCTGGTTCAGATTGATATTGATTCAACATGTATAACCCTATATCATTCTTAGTCCCCTTAAACTCTACAGTTCCCACAACCTCAAAGTCAGAATTATGATATACATCACATGATTTATCATCAAAAACTACTCTAAAGCCCTTATCAGTTAATTTAGCAACTGACAGTAAACTGGTAGCTAGTTCAGGAGTGTACAATACATCTTTGGCAATTTTAACAACTTTAGTACCATTGTTATTGAGTTCCAACTTCATATTACCCATTTCTCCACAATTCATTTTTCTGTCATCAGCCATGGCAATAGCTGTTGTGCTTGAAGCAATATCAGACATCAGAGTCTTGCTCCTCGACATATGACAGGTAGCACCAGAGTCGACGGCCCATCCAGAGGATTGTCCTCTTGTCACCATGACCCTCGTCTCCATCATAGGTTGGGTTACCTCAGAATTCTCAGGAGAGTCAGAAGATGTAACTTCCAAAGCACGTGTCAGCAGCGTGGTGTGTTGGCTCTTGTTAGTTGAACCATTGCTTGCTCCTGATGACCCATTTCTGTTGGATTCTCGTTTATTAGTTGACTTTTCCTTCCGTAGTGGACAGTCTGGTCTCTTATGGCCCGGCTGATTACAGTCATAGCAGACGATTGGTTTGTTCTTCTTCTGCGTCCTCTTCTTTGCTTCTATAAGTAGTGCTGCCTCCGAAGAAGGATGATCCCCACGCACACGACGTCTCTCAGCTTCACTAATTAAGGCTACCTTGACGTCATTTGAGGTAAGCTTTTGGTTGACCTTTATGTTTCGGTACAGAGAGGCGACTAACTCCTCAAATTCTGCCGAAACTCCATTGCATAAAGCAAAAGTAACCCATTCATCATCGATAGTTTTACCCAAATCAGTCAACCTTTGAGCTGTTGATAAGATATTTTTCTCGTCAATTCGAATGTTGTGGCCATACTCCTTGCTTCAAAGGCATCCTTGAGTGCGTCCCATGCTTCTTTTGCATTTGTAGCCGTCTGGACATGGACATAACAGACCTGCTTAATGGAAAGACATATTTTTGCTAATGCCCTCTCATCCTTACTCTTGTTACTCGAATCAATGGTCGTTATTGTCCCATCTACATGCCCATATAGCCCTTCCAACATTAAAGTCATTCTCATTGCGAACTTCCAACTTGCATAGTTCGATTGCCCTACCAATTTTTCAATATTGTGGGCCGAGGTTGAGATCGTGACAGCTGACTGCGTTTCGTCTGGCATTTTGGGAAACAGGAATGTCGTATACTTCAGAATCCAGTGATATTTGAGTAGAATTGTTAGATTTTCTTACTCAATTGACCTGAGCCCATAACCTGTTAGGCAGTGAGTAATAAATCAGTGGATTCCTTTTCGGATAACTTTTATTCACACACTTTCGAAGGAAAAATATCTGTTATTAAAACAACCAACATAATCAATAACGAATCCATAGTTACATGACAAGTGTCTAACATGAGAATGGTCACACTACATATTACATAATATATTATATACAGTAGGTATTGTCGATAGATTACAAACTATGAATTCCAACAAATACCACCATTGTCCACATCAAAATGGCAATTTCTCTGCACAAAAAGTAATTTTCTCCATAATGGAAACCTTGTACGTATTTCACGAAGTCAACTCATTATTCACTATTTTGCAAAATGATTTCGAAATAACCAATTTGCAATGAGTGCATACGGCAATGTTTTTGTTGTTCATACTCAGTTTGATATTTGACGTGGATTTGACGTTTAATAGAGCCATCTATTGGTTCGTGATTTTCACGAATAGGTGTGTTGACACGTGTTGACACACATATTGATAACCTCAAAGTAACCGGTGTTGCAGTGTTGACACACATATCATATCAATAGGTCGCGTGCACGATGACCGACCCTGGAGGTAAATTATTGAAACACAACCTCACTCTTCTGTGAAACATTGAAACACAACCGCACTTTTTTCATTTGTTTACAGAGAAATCAAAGGATTGAAATAGTTTTTCACAATATTTTGGCATACGAATTGCATGCCTCCTCATTGTGCTATTGTACAATGCACAAAAATTGTCTGGCATAGTCTTTACAAAGTCACTGGAGACAGCTTGATCCAAAGAGTTCGGCAGCGCCCGCCTGTCCCTCTCAAAAGTTCGAACGAGTCGCGTGCTGCAGGCGATCTTTTTTGCTGATTTTATCACAATTATGACTTTGTAAAAACTAGACAAGCGCCTAGAGATATACCATCTCTCTCTATAGCTTTCTAAGTTCCCTTGAAGTAAGGGAAGAAAAATATTTTGTCAGCATGAGCAAGGAGACTACTTTTTCTAAACTAGAAAGTATATATTTGGATAATTACGCATATACATAGTATTTGGCAACAGTAGATCCTTCGGGATTGTTCGGAGACTGTGGGTATATCGGAATGTGAGCCTAACGAAATATGAGCATATCGAAATGTGGAAAAAACATGATGTGGGTGTTCCTTATTAGTCAATGTGTATGTAGATGATAATATGTGGTCATTATTTCTTTCCAATGATTGAATTCGTTCTGAGGTTTCTTAATTATATTTTCCCAATTGCTTCCGTGTACCAGCCATTATTTTTCCCTATCCCAACCTATTCTTTGTGGAAAAATAAAGGCGAATAATTGATTAGTTTTCATGTTTTTAGGTTTTTTCAATAATATTTTTCCTACTTCTTTCCTCCTGAGGAATGTAACTCAATGTGTATGCGAACCATTTCTCTATGAGAAAATTAAGGTGAAAATTGATTGGTTTAGATTTTTTGATGTCCTTTATTTGCTCATAATTCTCCTATTGCTTCCTTTTCAAGGTACGTAATGAAATGTGTGTGTAGCCATTTATTTGCTCTCATTTCAACTCATTTTTTGTGAGAAAGCCAAGGTAAAAATTTATTGGTTTTGATTCTTCGAGAATTTTTCAATCATATTTTCTATTTTATCTCGAAATAGGGTATAGGACGATGAGATACAAAAGGCTATATACACATTGAATTACCTTGGAAGGGAAAATATGATTAAAAAACCTTCTTCATTTTCTCACAGAGAATTGATTGTAATAAGGAAAAAATAATGGCTACACACATTAACGTATATCTGTTTCCCAATGAAATATCCTGTACAAAAATCATGCGTACGTACCAGAATGTAGATGATAAATAGGTGGGAAATACCTATTCCTCAGGAAAATCAGTCCTTCTATGATCTGCCGTCCCAAACACTGTATCTGCAACGAGAAAGAACAAGAATTGGATGGGTAAGAAGTAACCAGTGGCAGGTCTAAGCAAGCAACAGCTTTCCTTGCCCGAAAATCAGAATCATTGTCTTGATCGTTTTTCAAACATTCATGCTCTGCCAGTATCTGATTTTCGATTATGGCACTCAAGAGTCCCTGATTCTTGTGCACAGTGAGCACAAGCAAAGGATGTAGTGCTCTGAAATAGAAAAAAAGTCACCAAACTGATAATATTGCGAATACCATTAATTTGCCTCGGTAAACGACTCCATCATAACTTAACGCAATTATTAAAATGGAAATATTGTAATTAGTTGTAATTTGTAAATCGAAAAATAAAACCTGAAACTAAAATACGTCAACTTCAACTTGAACTTACCGAACTTACCAGATAAAATCCACGGCTGTTCTGGCTATAGTCACTGGATGGTATTAGTAGAATAGTAGATAAGAGTTCGGTCACAGCTGAAGTCGAAGGCACTCTAACTAATACCATCCAGTGACTCTAGTTCTGGAGACAGTTAATCTACCGCTTTTTCAGCAACCGAGTTCCATAAATACCCTTTTCTCAGGGACCAACCGAACATTTCCTATTTATGGAATGGAAAACTACTAATCGGAATAACTAAGTTGATTTACGGAACATTCCCTAATTGAAAAAACAATTTTTGTTCAATCACTTCTGGTTTCACCCGAGGTTTCACCTACCGGAAACGATCCCAACGTTTGATTTCTAAATGGGACACCGTTAATTTCATTCCATAATCGGTTAGGGATTATTATGACGAATTCAACGACACCGGGTTTGCTAGGGTCATTTCAAATTATCACGAAGATATTTGGGTTGAAAATTTCATTGTCACTGAGATGTTCATAAGTTGACTGGTGGAGCGACTCTTCAATAGTATTTGTAACAAATGTGTACCACGATTCAGAACAAGAAGAATACTTCTCACCTTTTATTGAGAGATGGCGCCACGATCGTGATTGATGAATTAAAATTCTGTATTCTTTCATTCCGTTGATAACACGAAATTACTCAAGGCTATAAGGTTGCCTCATATTTTTTCTAGCCTGACGTCGCTTGTTCCCTAGTCGTCTTCTGTCGAGCGGCAAAATGAAAATGGCGGAGGTGATAAACAAAACAAACAAATTTAGCAATGTGCAATCGAGTGAATTTTGATAAATTTGAAGTTTTCCAATGTTTTTGTATTTACGAGATAGTTTACTGTTTTCTCAAAACATGCAGCAAGTACAGAAGACAGTGCTCCTATTGTACAGACACATTATAAAAAGTCACACGGTCAAATTCTTATTGCTATATCACTCCATCAGGACTGATTTCTTCTGGCATTTAAGGATATCGAGGTTGAGCTACTGATGAAGCAATTTTTAATAAAGAAAATTTTATTGGGAAGTCTGAACCTAATGATGGAATCACAGTGGATAAGAGCGTGCTGACTGACAAGGAATGTGTTAAAAAAATTCTTAAAATTGATAAGGCCATCACCATTTCTAAGAAAGAAAAAACAATTAACAAGAGATGAATTCCTACTGAATAAATTGAATGATTTCAACTCAATGGTTCTATTTCAGTATCAATTTGGAAATATTATTGTTTGAAATTGAAAGAACAAATAATAAGGAAATAAATCAATAAAGAAGTCATTATTACAATTCATTCCATTTTATCAATGCAATAAAAGTGCAACATGATGGAAATATCTCTGAGATATCTTCCTTATAAGATTATCACAAAATGTTTCATCAAATTGACTAAAATGTTTATGTAAGTTTTGGAGAAAGAAGGATTATACGACTTCATTAGGGACATTTTAGGGCCACTATTACTAACTAAATTTATCCATAATTGTCACACTCATAGACACATGGAAATTTTAAACGTGAATATCTTCATAATCTTTCGAAATAACCCCATCAGACTTGGTATCGTTGAGATCGTTATGATAAATCCTAACCGATCATGAAATAAAATACAGGGTTGAAGTCGTTCAGAAGCAAAGAGCACTGGCCAAATTTTTGCACTTCTCTGTATGTCTATGAATATCAGTTGGAAGATTCAACAGAAACTACCTTCCTGGCTATTCGTCTCGTCGAAAATTGAATTACATTTGTTGAACACCCAATAAGCTAAGCAAAACCATGGATCTTACCGTTCTCACGGACAACCCCTCCCCTCTGGCCCGGTACTTCTTCTCGTAATCCTCGAACCACGACGCGCCGTAGATGAGGTCCTTGAGGCTGCCCGCAGGGTTAACTGGACTAATAACCGCCACCTCGCCTCTCCAGAACTCCACGTCGAGCACGGGGTGGACGTAAGGGTGCTGCAGCCCCCTGAACAGCTCGATCAAGGCGTCCCTGGTGGAGCGGGACGGAGTCAGCGGACACGTGGACGGAAGAGGAATTAAAGCTAGCAGTCTTTCGGCCCCGAGGGTGTTGTCTTGAACTATAAACCTATAATAACATTAATGAAAATCAGCATCAAACTTTATACAGGGTGATTCATTGGGAAATGCGCATACAGTAAGAGATGAAGGACACCGAGGACGTGCGTCTCCCGACACAATCATCTTAGCACATCCAAGGTCAAATATTGTACTACATGAAGGAAAATATTGGCGCCAATTTTTGAAATGAACTTCGTAATACATATCTCGTAAATTTTTTGGTACGAGACAGAAAGGACTCTTCAATAAAGGTGACACTAATTAAAAGTGGATTTATTTACTAAGAAAATTAATTAGACATAGGACTATAAATTCTAGTAGGTACAAATAAATAATGTAATAAGTTTCAGGCATATGAATGTTTAATACATCAATGAAATATCGATATCTAGAACAATATCTGTTATGAATAGGTTATGAAGAAATCCTAAAAATCAGTTTTATTTAAAAGACTACCGACAATATCTTTTTGCTCAAGAATACTTGGTTTTTTGAATATTGAAGCATCTTTTCAGTTCTTTTCTTTTCAGTAGAAAATAGACGCACTTGCTTTTCTGTTTTTTTACTGGTGGGTAGGTATTAATGATTTGCTTTGTTTCAATATGAATAGTCTTTCCTTCATCAATTGTGTCTATAATAATTGTATCGCAATTATTCAGAATATATCAATGTTGTTCTTCAGATAGTGACATTGATGCATCACACATACCTATTATTAATTCACACCTTCCTTTTTATATCCTCCATTTCAAATATCAAATTATAAAATATAAACTCTATTGAAAAATATAACTTCTGCGACTTCTACGCGCTAATCGAATCCTCTATTCAAAAAAATCTAAATATTTTGCACCACTTGACATAATTGACATATGACAAATCATATTTGACCTTGGATGTGCCAAGATGGTTATGTCATGAGACGCTCGTCGCCGAGGTGCTTCTGAATAATCTATATTTCATGGGTATATCATTCTTCATAACCAACACACAGGCTGATTTATTGATATCCCCCATTTATTCAATCAATCGTAACTTATGAACCACCCTATACATTTTGTTGATATTTGGTTTTTATGTTCTTTGTCCACAGTGGTGACGATTGACATAATAAAAAAGTCTTATTCCAGGGCCGCCTTTGAAAAACTTAATAAGTAGGTTTCGAGTTTTCGGTTTCACCTATCAACTCGAGTCAAATCTAGAGGCTTCAATACTGAGGTGACACAAAATTAAAAAAAATATATATTTGTGATCTCGAATGGTACTTTTCTATTTATAATCCACAAAATAATCAACTATTTCTCATTCTCCAAATTTGTGGATCCCAACCTAATTGAAAACGAGAGGACGTGTCCGTATTTGTGATGAATTATTATTATAAATAACTAACTTGTATGTGTAAGAAAATTATCATGAAATCATCATAACATTCGTTTATTGTACTACATTTGAAACAACAATTATGAAAATGTTGAACAATGCCCAATCCGAAAAAAGCATAACTTTCTTTCGAACAGAAATGGCGTTGCAACAAATTGTATTGAGTTGAATCCATAGACATACAACATGTTCAATATTATCAAATTTGTATGTCATTGAGTGAGCAATAGCTGTTATCAATGAATAACGTTTCAACGCAAAACACAAGTGCAAAGTACAAACTCATCATCAACTAACGTTTAAATTGTACTCTAAAGCCAATAATTTGACAATTACAACGATTTGGGATATCAAACCCAAAGTGTACGTACAGACTGCTTGATTTTATTATAATGATCAAAGAATGCCTCAGAGAGCCGAGAAATGATCATGCTCTTGCTAAAAAAATAACTAGACGCGGATAAATTTTCTGTTATGTTCAACCTTTGAACTGTAAATCTGTATCTTCACATAGATGAAACAGAACCATTGAATTGAGAGACTCATCTAGAGAACTGAGCCTCATATTGGGTGGAATTGAATCGAATAGTGCTTTTATTCACCCAAACGTCATGGGTATATAAATGCCCTTGATTAAACAGCTTAATCGGTAAATCAGTTATATTAGCAATCTAATGTATTAGCGAAACATGTCGTGTGTCTTTTATATAATTTCATGGAAATATAATCGTTCGTGAAGTTTTTTCAATTACCATGTTGGTATCCCATAGTCGATTATAAAAATAAAGAGTTAACTTAATGAAATTAAACACAGTATCGCGTGCAAATTATCTCCATGCAATGGTTATTGTTCAGTATAATTATTGAAGTACTGGAGATATCTGTTTTTTGAAGAATCTATTATAATACTACTACTAGGCGTGGCATTTAGAGGAGGAGCGACAATTAAATTTTTTCAAGAAATTAGCGCACCACCAGGAAGTTGCCAAAAGTTTGAGGTACATTTTCGCCCGATTCAGACGTTTTTAGTTTTGATTGACATGTTATCTCCTTCTGGTGTATAAATTGTATTCATATAGAGTCCTATTTTATATATTGTCGGCGTCAAACAGTGAAATCCATCATTCTCTGGAATGTCTAGTCATTTCACGTATTGCCGGCAAACAGCGTAACTCTAAATTCCGTACACCGTTTGCCCAATAGTTTCAGGCATTCCCTGTAATGACGGAAGGAAGGTTCATTTAGGTTGTTTGGAAGCAGTAGTCTCTTCTGTTCTCTCGAGTAATTTTCTGAAAAATATACTTTCTAGGAAGAAGGTTCATTTAGGCGAGAAAATAGTCTCCCTTCTTATGCCTATGCAGAAAGGATATATTTTCCTTCCTCAACCCTCCGGCAAACAGATAGTAACGGCTGAAAATGATACGCTGTTTGCCGACAATACATGAAATGACTAGGCATTTCAGGGAATGACGGATTTCATTTTTAATACCCTGTAACCATGGTATGGCCAGCTCGGAGTCCGGATTGAAATCTCATTGAGAATCTCTGGGGCATTATTGGGACAAGATTACAAGAGGAACGTTACTTGAATACTTTGTAAATCGCACGGCATAGACTGATGATTCAAATTTGGAAAGACCTGGACCAACATGACATTAGGTCTTTTATTTTGGGTATAGGCCGTCATTGCCAAGGAGTTTTTCATGCCCGCGGCGGAATAAATACTCGCCACTGACCCTTCTGTTCAACTTATGACTTCAAATCCTGTTTCATTTTCGAGTAATGATGTTGAGAGTTCAGAGAAATATCATCAGACAAATCATTGTATCTTTGGTAGAAGTCCATATTGCTCAAAGTGGAGTGGTATTATCAAAGAAAGAAATAAAAGCATGAAATCGTCTTCACCCAATTTTATCAAGATGTTATACAATTACAAATCAGGGTTATCAGGGACGTATTTCAGTCTTATGAAGGAGCATTTTCAGCCTTATTAGAAGTGCTACAATGCAAACAGGATTGGTGTGACAAAAGTAAAACTATTTGGTTCACTTACTTGGAGTCGTAAAAGTTTTCCTGTTTATATCGTAGATGGTCTTTCATAAGACTGACATGTTACTGATTGTTTAACATCTGAATTAAATTGTGTGGAGACAATTTCGAGCTTTCCTTCCTTCCTTCAATCATTGTTTCAATACATTTAGTTTTTTTACTTTTTTGAATGATTTAAATGCATCAAAAGTATCATATATACTTTCATGATAGCTATTTATATACCAAGGGAGGAAAGATATCCATTTCCTCCCATGATATATATATGATTTTATAAACGATAGCATATTTTGAAGCATCATTCTTGAAATTGTGCTTCAGGCAGAATATATCTCGATCCAAATCATTATGCATTACAAACATAGTATGCCATGGACAATCATGAATTAATTGATGTGTATACTGCATAACGTTCGGAATATGAAGAAGCGTATGACATGAATGGAATCGAAAAAGGATATAATTGTTATTTGTTTTATAATAGTGATAAAGACACTGATTACTTGGATTACACATATTTTATAGGTATATCGACGCCAAAGGATGCATGCTGAAGCCAATTTATTTCACCCACCACGGAAGTTCATATTTTTTTCAACAACTTCGGCGTTTCCTTCAATGGGGGAGCAAAAGCCTACTGTCGATTCACTGAGTAGATAAAAAGATTTAAATCACGAAATGATTTAAATCTCAAAATTGTTTATTATCTAAATACTTTGTTATTGACTGAAATGAAATATAACTTTTATCTATCATTTTTGAAACGATTTTTGACAGCACTGGTAGGCATATACATAGTTACCAATGTTTTTCAGGCCTCGATCCTATATCTTCCAGCTGCGTTTTCAGTTCGTATCTCTCGTTGTCTTCCAGATTTTGCTTGCAGCTCATGAAAGCCCCATTGCGTATTTGTCTTTCTGCTCTCAACTTCTCATTATCACCGTCAGTTTTCAAGGCGCTGTATTCGTGTTTTGGTAGCCCTGATGATTGCCTGAAAATCATCAGTATATTATTCAAAATGAAACAAGGATTATTGGCATAGAATATAAGAAATAAGATATTCTCCTATAACAAGCAAAGGAAGTGGCATATATCTCACTTTCACGCGTAACTTTCTCACTACATTTCCTATAGGATCACCACAATCCCTATTTCGATATATTTCACAGCCATATTTTTGTTTGCGAACGCAAAATCAATTGTGAGCTCTTTCAACTGTGTTTCTTCCATTGTAACTCAGAAAGTATTAGTTGTGATTCAAAAAGTATGAGTTCTAATTCGGAATAGTTGATTGTAATTCAGGAAGTAAAACTTGAAATACAGATTTGTTAATTATTGTTATTCAGAAAGCTTAATATGTAATTCAGATTAGTGAAATGTAAATCATAATCTGTAACTCGTAATTCAGAATAATGAAATGTTATTCAGGAAGCGTAAATAGTAATTCAGAAAGCATAACTTGTAATTTCAGAAAGTATCACCCGTACGCATGTACGCCATTAAACAGCTTCCATCTGCAAGGGAACTCAACTTTCATTTAATTTGAGCCATATCAGCAGCAGGGCTGCAAAGTGCACATGTAGTTCAATCAAATGGTGCACAAAAATAGCTTGAAGTGGAAAGTTCTGGTGTAATTGATTTCAGTGGTTTATAGTATGCTCTTTGATGTGCTCAACACGAATCTTGAGTTGTCCACCAAAAATTTCATCGGCAAATATCAGAAAATACTAAAAGAGCACACAAAATTATGTTTTTTTATGGTTTTCAGCTTTCAACTCGCAAAGGAAGCCGTTCACACAAAAAATTGACGAGTAATAAAATCAAGAGGGGAAAAATTATCTACAATTCATGTCTCATGATACTTTTTGGTATGTCATTTGGTTTCCATGCAAAAGATTGTTGAAGTTTTAGTGGAATCAGTGATTTTTGGAAAAAAATAAAAAATTCAACTAATTCATAGTTTTTATTGCAAATAGATAAACATATCACTGTCTAATAAAATTCTCCTCCTGGACACAGACTCCGTGGCTTTTCCAGGGCAGCTTTCAAGTTCTTCTACGCCTGTTACAAATAATCATTGACTTAATTCAATAATTTCAATATATCGATTAGATATAAAAGCAATACCTATTGAGGATTTCTCCGACATTTTTATATCAATCAATCAATCAAATAAGCTTTATTGTCCAAAGTGTTAACTCATTGACCAAGCATGTTACAATTTAACAATAATTATTCATAATGATATTTATAATTCGTAATACGTACTCGACCTATTTATCGTTATTGATTATTGGTCGATAACACAAATGAATTGTGAGAGGAAAAATAAAGGTGCGAAGGAATTATTCATGTAGTTATATACCTTCCAGAGGATCAGAAAATTCCGAATCATCCTCTGCTTCTTCTTCAATGTCTGTAACGGCCATGTTATTGCAGCTATTTTCACAATTCAGACACATACTGAAACAAATAATGCCTGCTTTTTGGGACCCACAGTTGCTCTGAAAGGTTTTCATGCAAAACTGCTTCTGGTGCTGGTGATCATAAAATACAAAAAAGCACAAAAAATCATGTTTCAAATGGTTTCAGCTTCCAACTCGCGAAGGAACTGGTGCATTCCCGATGGAATTCAAAATAAGTAATGAAATCATCCCGATTGATCCTACGACTATTTTTCAAAGAATCACAGTTGCTAAACAATCTGACAAAGAACTCGAAGAAGTTCTCAAAATATGAACTGTGCCCGTATCCGTTGCCTCTTTTTGATGACTATGGAATGAGAAAAGGAACCAAGTCTGCCTTATACAAAGCATTTACACCAACTGAACAGACAAATCTCCAAGGGTGTGTGTACGTCTTAGATGGAGGATATTTGCTCCACGAGGTGGTGTGGACCAGGGGTCAATCATGTTCATAAATTTGTGGAAGTTATGTTGCATTCGTTGAGTCCAAGTACAAAGTCCCAAAAAGCAGGCCTTATTTGTTCTAGTATATGTCTGAATTGTGAAAATAGCTGCAATAACATGGCCGTTACGACATTGAAGAAGAAGCAGAGGATGATTCGGAGTTTTCTGATCCTCTGGAAGGTAACTACATGAATAATTCTTTCGCACCTTTATTTTTCCTCCCACAATTCATTTGTGTTATCGACCAATAATCAATAACGATAAATAAGTCGAGTACGTATAAAAATGTCGAAGAAATCCTCAATAGGTGTTGCTTTTATATCTAATCGATATCGAATTAAGTCAATGATTATTTGTAACAGGCGTAGAAGAACTTGAAAGCTGCCCTGGGGAAGCCACGGAGTCTGTGTCTAGGAGGAGAATTTCATTAGACAGTGATATGTTTATCTATTTGGAATAAAAACTATGAATTAGTTGATTTTTTTATTTTTTTCCAAAAATCACTGATTCCACTGAAACTTCAACACTCTTTTGCATGGAAACCAAATGACATACCAAAAAGTATCATGAGACATGAATTGTAGATAATTTTTCCCTCTTGATTTTAATACTCGTTAATTTTTTGTGTGAACGGCTTCCTTCGCGAGTTGAAAGCTGAAAACCATAAAAAAAACATGATTTTGTGTGCTCTTTTAGTATTTTCTGATATTTGCCGATGAAATATTTGGTGGACAACTTTAGATTCGTGTTGAGCACACCAAGAAATGAAGAATAAGCCAATGGAAACAATTACACCAGAACTTTCCACCCTGAAATACCGTTTGATTAGACTAATGGAGTGAAAAAGAAGCTCTTTCACATCCGATATAGTCAATGCTTGGGTGCTAAGATTATTGCAGCTATGGCAAGCTCAAGGATATCAATTATCCGATGATGTTGTCCTTGTGTGCGATAATGCAGCTTGCCATTCCAGATTTGAAAACGTCCTGGACGGACCTGAAGCAAGTCTTCTTCGGTTAGGTCCATACTCCCCAAAGAACCTAATTGAAACAATCTGGTCCAAAATGAATTGTCACATAAAAGTAAATCGTCGAGTACCAGTTGAAGTTGAAGGTCCGAGTATTGCAGAAAAACCACTTGTGTATCTTGAACAGAATATTGACCAGGCCAGAGATACAATTATTGGAGGTGATTGTGCTAGGACTGCACAACACACCACCATTCACCATGCTGCAGCTTTGGCATTTCAAGATATGGTGAAGGTTACTTAGCTGTGTGCACGTGTAGATATACCAAAATAGTACAAAACGTTGTATTTCGTGCAAAATAAATATTATTCAACTTTCCACAGCAGAGCGCTTTCGACTAACAGTCATCATCAGTGCGTACTCGTCAGGTTGAGAAGAAAATCATCCATAAAAATATCTTTGGTCGCGTCGACTTATATCAATAATATGGCTAATTACGGTACACACAGATTCTTTGTTTCCTAAAATAAGAAAATATGCAGATTACGTTTTCTTAAACAACCATCATGGCTGCGACATACTGTCGTGTTGAAGTCAAATATACCTATTTGAAATGGAACAAGATTTTAGTTAAAAGATAGAATTCAAAAGATAATCATTTGAATCCTAAAAGATCATTTCACAGTTAGATCATTTAAGTTTCATTCCTTCTCCATTTACCATCTTTGTCATAATCGTTTACCACAATGAGTCATCTCACTCACTTATGAACACTTGTTCCATCAGAATCGTTAGTCGTCTACGGATACCTGAAGGACATATTAACCAGCAGCAGCAGGAATCGTGCTCCGTAATTAACCAGTTGTCAGCCGGTAAATGAGGTGAGCAGTATATACGGTACGGCAAACCACAACCAACTCTGGAAACGGAACATACCCTTAGTTCCGTTTGTGACTAAACAAACTGAAATCAGATTATTCTTCTATCCACACCAGTCGACGTTCCAAGTGAATAATGCACTTGTAGCAGAGCAGCTCCATACACATGATGAATGGTAAAAACTACAAGCTTTGGAAGTTCTAAGTGATAGCAGTTTTACGTTCCAAGGTCTCCTGGACATTGTCACACGGGTAGAGGAAATATCAGACGAGCAGAATTCCAGAAAGGAATGATTGAAGCAAGATGAGAAGGCAATGACTGTATCGATAAGAGCTCTTGAAAGTTATCAAGCCCAGATGGTATTAACTTGTAGGAATTCAAAGGAAGTATGGGACAAGTTATTGAGTATGCACGAGAAGAAAAAATGTAGTAAGCATACTGAATCTGTATGAAGAGTATTTCGCGTTGAAAATTACTGAAGACGAAGACTGAAGACGTGAAGCTATACGTATGTCTCTGAAGTTTGTAAGCTTGCTTCTGAAATTGAGGACCGTCTGACAATATTGAAATGGTGAAAATTATAAGTAGTCTCACGCCAAAATTAAAAAATTTCATGTCTGACATGCATAATATAAAAGAAGGACGTGATCTAGATAATCTGATGCTTGCAAGACTTTAGCAAGGAGAAGATCAGGTGAATAAATCTTCCAAAAGTGAATTGTCTACTGAAGCTTTTAGTTCGAAGAATAAAAGATACCTGAATTTCCGAAAGAAATCAGAATCAGTCATTGGGAACGCGAATGTCCAGAGAAGCTGACCAGTAGGAGGACATGTCAAATGAACCGGAAATGAAAAATGAATTCGCTTCTACCACAACCATCGAAGATTTGATAGAAGCACAGAGCAGCGAGGTACGAATTGCAGATTCAGGAGCCTCACAACATATGACATTCCGAAAAGATCGGTTTGTAGAATTAACAATATCAAATAAAATTAGATTCGTCAAAGTCGCTAATAATGACAATATTCCAATAATGGGATATGGAACGATTCTCATCGATGCCCTCATCAGAAATGATTGCCTAGAAGGCTGGAAAAGGTGCACTAGGTACCAGCTCTATCGCAGAATACATTTTCCACTGGTACCGCAATAAAGAAAGGTTCCTACCTGCTGATTAGAAACAACTCCTGCAGCATATTTGCAGATGATGATTTAGCAGCTCAGAGTGTTAAAG